TACTCCANGTGACAAACCGATAAGGAAGTTGCCTGGGTTTAGGGTAAGCATTATACATATGTTAACTAAAAAGTAAATCAATGAGAAAGAAAACTGAAAGATATTTCAATACTAATCAAGAGTAATCCGGCAAAAGGATAGTCATACCTTCTAATATAAGCCAACAACGAAAATCTTAGCAGAAATGTCGTCATTTGACACTATAAATATTGANAGAACGTGATGCTCGGCTCGCCAATCCTGACCCTTTTATTGGGCGGCCCCCCATCATTCTCGGCCACCTTTCTTGTAAAAGCTACCTTCTTGAGATCGGACTCGAGTTCCTTGGACGTGGGGCGATCTAGAGGACATACATGGATCATATCTATGACGTTGTCCGGCTCCTCGGTCGGGACAGGGGTACGTCTGTCTTCCGGCCCAGGTTCTATGTATTCTTTCAAGTATCCGTCTCGGACCAACCTCTCCAAGAAAGATTTGTANATTAATGCTGGAGTCAAAAAGACGTATTATTTTCCCATCAAAATTGATTTGCTTTGTCTCAGAACTTTTCCTAACTTGAACATGAGAGTGTTTTCGACTGGCCAACCCTCGGTCTGTTTGCTCATTTTGCAGGAGGAGCAGTGCAATTTTGTTTGTTTTTTGAATCCCATAGTTACATGTCGAGTGTGCCTCTAGATTGACTTTTAGAACTGAAAGAAGCCGATAGCAAAGGAAGTGGCAGCAACTTGAAGGTACGAGATTGTTTTTCTCGATTGATTGACAGCTTGAAGGTACGAGATTTTTTTTCTCGTTCGATTGGCACCGTTTGTGGAATTAAGTTCTACTTTTCCTCCAAAAGTACCATGAACTCTTATTATATTTATCTTAAGACAATTAAATCATACTTTTAATAATTTATTTCCAAGAAGTCCTATACTCCATCAATAATATATGTTGTTCCAATTTTATCCTTCACATCAATACAACAATTACATTTTTACCAATAGTAATTCTTATTAGAACCAAAAATCAATTTTTTTTCTAATTAATGCATAACACCCAAAACACGTAATTAACAATAAAAGGCTTATAGAAAGAAGAAATAATATAACTCTATCTTTTCTTATATTTAACTTTTTAAATATGTGAATTTTGACTCATCTAACTATTAAATCTCAACCATAAAGACATATAATTATGCAAATTAACAATATAAAAATTAATCTATGATTGCATCATCGAGAAAAGTTCTTCTAATTATATATTTTTTTCTTCTCTTTTTACATTTTGAATTAATTAGAAAAAAATTATTGTTTTAAGGCATTAAAAAAAAAGAAAGAAGTCAAGCATTTCAAGTTACAACATTATATTTAAGATAAAAAATAAAAAATATTTGTGTATATTATGACTTCTAAACTATGTAAGATTCTCTCACATATGAACTCTTATATATCAATAAAGTGATTTTTGTTTATAATTACATATTTTAATAAATATAATTATTTACNTTCCGGTGATAGGAACACTTGACCCTTTGATCACGGGTGGAGGGATCGTTCTGCATCCTGGGCGCCCACTTGAAGAATGGCTCATGCTTGATCTTGTGGAGCAACTTGTAGATGGGTTCCTNAAACTATGTAAGATTCTCTCACATATGAACTCTTATATATCAATAAAGTGATTTTTGTTTATAATTACATATTTTAATAAATATAATTATTTACAAAAATATAATTTGTGAAATCATAGTGGATAAAATTAGAACAAAACAAACCATTAATAAAGTTTAGAACTTTTTGTGAATAAATTATCAAAAGTAGGGATTTAATTGTTCTAAAGTAATTATGATGGGCTCAATAGTAATTATAGAAGAAAAGTATGACTTATCAGTACGATTTTTTTTCAAANACCCTCCCACTCCCTCTCTTTTCTCTTAGGTTGGAGGGTTTTGCCTTTGCTGCTTCTCATCTCGTCCTCGATTCTAGAGTATTTGTTTATCTGGTCCATCAACTCGCCCATATTCGAGGGAGTCCTTTTGGTTAAGGATCGGTACAGGTCCGTGTCCCTTGTCAAGCCGAGCCTGAAAGACGCCGCTGCCATAACTTTCGAACAACTTTCTACCTCATTAACCTCCTCCCAGTACCGGATGACGTACTGGCCGAGGGTCTCGGATTCCCTCCGTCTGAGCGTCAGTAATGATCTGACGTCTTTAGGCTGCTTACTCCCCGTAATGAATTGGGCTAGGAACTATCTCGTCAGCTTCTTCCATGATCCAATGCTGTTGGGGGGAAAAGCCTCGAACCACTTCATCGCGGAGTCCCCCAAGCTCATGGGAAACACTCGGCAGAGGAACCGTTGGTCTGAATGATATAGGGACATCATTTGTTTATACTGCCTGAGGTGGGCTTCGGGATCGGACCGTCCATCATAAGTTTTNTAAAGACATATAATTATGCAAATTAACAATATAAAAATTAATCTATGAATGCATCATCGAGAAAAGTTCTTCTAATTATATATTTTTTTCTTCTCTTTTTACATTTTAAATTAATTAGAAAAAAATTATTGTTTTAAGGCATTAAAAAAAAAAGAAAGAAGTCAAGCATTTCAAGTTACAACATTATATTTAAGATAAAANTAAACCTCGACACGACGAATTTTTTTGGAACATCCATCTTTGTGATACCCCTGGTAAAGGGTGATTGCATGACTTCGTCTTCGACATCATCCTGGACAGCATTGTCCTTTCTCCTGGATTCCAACCGAGCTCTGAGATCAATTTTCTCCCTAACGGTGTGTCTTCTGAAGTCTCCGAGTTCGTCAATAGGTCCCCCATTTCCTGGGCTTCGTGTGGATAGAGTTGAATCCTCCTCGGACTCATCTCCCTTCCTCCGTCTTGACANATGTAAGATTCTCTCACATATGAACTCTTGTATATCAATAAGGTGATTTTTGTTTATAATTACATATTTTAATAAATAAAATTAAATATAAAATTATTTACAAAAATATAATTTGTGAAATCATAGTGGATAAAATTAGAACAAAACAAACCATTAATAAAGTTTAGGACTTTTTGTGAATAAATTATCAAAAGTAGGGATTTAATTGTTCTAAAGTAATTATGNGTTCGTTGGCTCTTGGTCACTTTGGGACCCTGGAGCTTTCCGCTTTGTCATTTAAATGATTCCTCAGATCCTTCGTTTTCGCCTCCCAGGCGGGGAGCCCACGAGAAAAGAATGAGTCCCTCGACCCTTCGCCAGAGGCGGCGAATTCGTTGAGCCGGCTTAGGACGTTCACATTGTCCTTTTTCAACTGTTGTAATCGATCTCCAAACTTTTCTTCGATCACCTCCGCTAGTTGGCGAGCCAAGGGGGCAGTTTCTCCTGACCTGATGCCCATACTGGTCTGAGGAGTAGGCCCTCTTGACTGAATAGAGACATTTCTATTCCCATCAGTGTGATCCCTTCCTCCATCATGACATGGAGCTCGTAATTCAAAACTCTTTTGTTGGGGACCTTTCCCTTTTTGTCGAGTATTCATCATGATCACTGTTCTTTACAGAGAAGAAACTAGGAGAACTAGTCGTTTCCCATAGACGGCGCCAGATTGTGTGTGAAGGATCTTNATCATGATCATTGTTCTTTACAGAGAAGAAACTAGGAGAACTAGTCGTTTCTCACAGACGACGCCAGATTGTGTGTGCAGGATCTTACACAATATAAATACGAGAACAAATTTCTCCCTTGGTGAACTCGAGTCAGTCAATCAAATGGTCAACCTTGCTATTGGGAACAGCCTGTGAGGTCCTGTGGTAACCTGGAACAATAATGAAAGACCCACGTGGATCAACGGAACGATCCAGTAAGGCTGAGGAAGGTTCCTGGAACAAAGAAAGGCAAGTTAGAAGGGCGCCGGAGTGTTTTCCGGCGTATCCCCTCCGACGATCAAGTCAGTATTTGAGAGGGGGGAAGAAGAAAACACTGAGTATAAGTTTTTTGTTGCGTACCATCTTGCCTTTTGCGAAGACTATTTATACCTCAAAAACTCATGATTGCTGTCAGTGTGGTCAGTCCGTGATCATTAGGTACAGGGAACGTGTGCACTGATTCCTATGAGGAATGTCTTCTTTCTTAACTACTCAGAACCCCGAGCAATTAATGCGTCGTCATCGGCCTACCGAATATTCAATGAGCTCTTCTCGGCAAAAGAGTAATAAATGCCTAGTATCAGGGACATTTATTGTTTTTCTCTTCCGAGTCTTACCGCATTAAATGTTGTCTAATCAAGGGAATGACCTAATTAAATGCTTGCTTTCCCAAGTTGTGTGTCAGTAAGGATATCCGTTCTTTTTGTCTCTGATGTGACACAATATGCCACGTGCCTTTTTCCCATTGGCTGCGTCTTCTACCTTCCTGTGCCTTCTGATACCAATTGTGTAAGACGAGGTCATGATGGCTAACCTAGCCTAATCTAGGCTAGTGACCTGTACATCAATAACCTCTGCGGGAGCAGAGAATGCCATCCAGAATGGTACACCTCGAAACCGAGGGGGAGGTATACCTCGAAGCCGAGAGAAAGGTACATATAGAGATTGATGTACCATATCCCCGATCGAGGGATACATGTCGGTACGTAAATGTACTGAATGCCATTGATCCCTATGACCAGTACTTCGGGAGAGAGAAACTTATGAACCGATGAGTACGTGTCGTGATTACAATAATAAAAATTTAATGATACCAAAGACACGTGTCTTCGTCTTAGAAGATCTCCGAAATGTCCCGTCGTTAAGTTTAAAAGACGAGAAAGACAAATCCTTGACCTTCGTGGCTACGATTTGTCCAAGTCTAATCTCACGCGGCTAGACTACCCAAGCTGAAGGTTCCTTTTAAGTTTATGACGTTTTGAGCAGTATAAAATGCAAAACCCTATTCATTTTCTGTACATATTTTGATCCGAAGTTCGTATAATTTACAGACACCACAATCATCATCACTTCCCTTAGTGAACAAGTAGATATGGATGAAATTCAGGTCGAATTACTTTCTGAAGAACTGGAGGAAATTCAGATCAAATCAGATTGTGAAGAAGCAGCAGAAGAAATTCATATCAAATCAGATAATGACGAAGTTGATGATGACTATTCAGACATCACTCTCCGATTGTTGGATCTCTCCGACATAGATGACTTCATGGTATGGATTACAGACGAGAAAGTAAACAAATTTATCTCTTGGGAGCCTTATACTTCTAAAGAAGAAGCTTTGAATTATATTGTAGATTTTGTTATTCCCCATCCATGGTACAGAGCAATATGCCTTAAAGACCGGCCTATAGGGACGGTTTCAGTGACAAAAAATTATGGCAACGATAGTTGCAGAGCTGAAATTGGGTATTTCCTAGGATCAAAGTATTGGGGGAAAGGAATTATGACAAGGGTGGTGAAAATGGTGGCTTCCACCATTTTTGTTGAGTGGCCACACCTTGAGAGGCTTGAGGCTCTGGTGGATGTTAACAATCCTGCCTCACAAAGGGTGTTGGAGAAGGCTGGGTTTCAGAGAGAAGGTGTTCTGAGGAAGTATTATATTCATAAGGGAAAGCCAATAGACATGGTGATGTTTAGTCTTCTCTCTACTGATTCCCCTGTAAACTATTTAATTTACAGTTAAATTTTCTATTATAATCAAGATTATAAATAGAGGACAGTCCTTGGTGTATTGGTGTTATTGTTTTATTGTAATCTGAAAGTTTATGAATTTGTTTTCGCAAAAATAGTCTATTATGGTACGAATTTTTTGCATTGTGCAGCATTTTTTGCTGATCACTGTTGTACATAGATGGATTGGGACACCAGAGTCAAACTTATGCATATCAAATGTGCACATATGGTGCCATTGTTTGTTGCAATCTCACACAATGGAAGTTGACATAAGATTTTGGGTATGGAGGAAAACGGCATACGAAATTTTCATACAGAAATTTGATCCAGACATGATGTCCTTCATTGGCTGTTTGTCATTTTAAAGATAGATCATAAATGTTAATTCTAGCCTCATTAAACACTTGACAGAAAGGACTGGCAGCCTCAATTTTTTTGGTAAATGATTGTACTTTGACTTTGCCACGCAGGTTAAATTTTTTCTGTCTTTGAGGAATTGGAAAAAACAGGTTACCAATCAACATTTTTATGATGTAAGAAACCTCATTAAGGGAAGGAGTGGAGGTTTTTAAATGGCCTCTCTGCTATTTATTTCAGAATATATATATCACATTACTAGTGCTTGTCTAGTCCTGCTGGACTTTAGATTCTGTGCTTTGTCCTGTTCATTTGTATGTGCATGGAAGGAGAAAAATAATTGATGAGCCAATGTATGTACTGAGTATTATGGCAGTTCTCGACTTTTACATGCAGTCTGAGGATGATATTGTCGAGTTGGCAAAGCATGTGAAGCAGTGGAATGTGAAAATTATATCGGTGAGCATATTTTTCATTGGATTCTTGCTAATACAGCTAGTAATTGTACTTACGTTTGTTTATTAACTACTTCCACCACCTATGTTGTCTATGATGGAATTTCAAATACTATTGCCATGTGCAGATTAGCAAAAACAAGCAACACCAGGACAAAGCTGTGGCGCATAGGTGTGGAACAGACTAGAAGAATTCATGCGGTTGCAATCACGATCTTGAGGTGTGCCATACTCCCCAAAAAACAGTACATGTCAATTGTCTTGCTCTGTGGTAAAAAATTTCTCAGTTGGCGCTACTAAGACAGTTATGATGTGAAGTTTAATTAGGATTATAATAAACTAGATTTCATATTTTTGGGAATGAGGTATCCTATTTGTGGCTCTGTGGTGCCTTGGATGATTTTTTTATGATGCAACATAACAATAAAGAGAAGTATGAATGGATACTAAATTATCTCCTTGTAATTGTCATTACTTTTTGAAGGATGTGCTTGCTGTATATTATCTCCCTTGGGGGTTTTTGATGATTGAGAACAAATTGTTTTGGAAGTTTGTTTGAGATTGATGGATTACAAATGTTGGGGAAGAGTGGGGAATGCAGTAAAACCTACCATTACAAATTACACTCAAATTGGGCAAGGTATACAAGCAGTCAACTGCTAAGAGTTGTGATGAGGCTGGTTTGAGTCTTTTCATGGTAGTAGGAGGATCAAATGTGCCGACAATGAAGTGAGGGCTTTCCGGACCTTTCCCCGGCTCCCTAAGTGGCCCATTCCTAATGAACGAAACGAAATAATCTCAATTTTACAAAAGGACTCTATATTTCATCTTTGGTGTCACCACCGGAATGATGGGCCTCATCAAATAAAAAAGCCCAGTCAGCCACCAATTAGGTAATTTAGCTTTGTAATGAAAATTGTTCTCAAGTCAATTTTCTCAGTCACAAGGAGTCTATTTTTTATTTCAAATCATACCTTGTATCTGCTTCCCTTTGTGTTTATCTTGGGTTTTTTTTTTCCTTTTGATTACAATTTTTTGTGGTAATTTGTTTTGATGTAGACTGACAGTTCATTTCACTTTCCTTGGTCTGTAGTTAAACTTAAACCTCTTAGTTCTAGTTCACAAGGCAGGAATCATCTTTATTCAAAGGGAAGAGGCCAAATCTCTTCAGTCATACAAAAACCATATCAACCAATGAAGAGGGTACTAAAGAATAAATATATTGACACACTCAACCAAGGAAAAAGGAATTTTGAAGTAAACAATCATTCTATACGTAGGACTGTATACTGAGCAATAGGATGAACAGATAACAGAACTCAGTACAGGGTAGAGGTTGAAGCATATGATGCAATGACCAACAGGACGAAAAGCAGAGGAACTGCTAACTTGGTAGAGCTTGCATCTGATGAACCATTTTCTGTTGATGGTACTGTGTTAGATCCCCGTCCTGCACATGTAAAAGTTAAGTTGAACATTATTGTCCTTGTAGTGGTTGATATCATTTGTTATTGATAGAAAACTGGGGAAGATACGTAAACCAGGGGCGGAAGATGAGAATTTTAAAGGGTTTTATTGCTAAACCAGAGAAAAAAATTTCTTTTTGTCCTCGGTTTCATGGTTTCCAGATATGCAGATTAAATTTTGTGATGCCACACAAATGTCTTAGTTCTTCTGATGGTAGTAGTACCATCATTTGTAGTGAAAGAAATATTGAAGTATTGGTACCTGATGGTACTGTGCTTGGAGTTCCCACAGGAGAATCGGCTGGAGAAGCAGCTATCAGGTTCAAAGTTTACTAGTTAGTAGAGATTATATATGTTGATGAGCATAATGTTATAAACTCTATGTTACAAGAATGAAAATTTGCTTAAGATGTGAAACAGAAATTTCTTGTGCATCTTTACCATTGCAACGGCTGAGGGGTGGGGTCTGAACATTGCAAGCACCAGGTAATGCCAGAGCAAGAGTTTGATTGATGTTAAGCCCCTGTGATGAGCCACCACCATTTAGGACCTGACACAAGCATTGTGGCTGTGAGCGAACAACGTTGCCAAGCTGAGTGCAGCAGCTTGAAGACGGGGTTGAAGAGTTGCCAGTAATGTAGTTGAGGCAGGGTGACATGCTTATTATCGTGCTCGTGCAACTGCTAGACTGAGCAGTGGCTCCAGTCCAGAGTATGGTCGCTAGGACCAACACTATACCCATCTCAATTCTTTGATGTGCCATTGGAGCTCCTTGAACAGGTACTTTGGAATGGGTTAGTTTGCTGGAAATGCCGGTAGAATGGGGAGATATCTAGGCTATTCAAAGAGTTTGGTTCCTTTGGTGGAGGGAGAGACAGGGTAGAGGGGTTTATATGGGAGAAATAGGGAATAATAGTCAGAAGAAGATTGGCTATGCTGGTAACCGACTTCTCCTACTCTCCAAGGTGTCCAAGCTAGAGACTTTTAGAATTGGACAATTTATTCTTTGACCTCTGAACAATGACTTGAGTATTACATTGTTCCCTTAATTATCATATTTCTCTCATGGTATCTCCGATCATTGTTGTACGTTTCGTATTATCCCGATTGTAGATGTCTATTAACGATTGCACTTTGCTTATCAAATTGCGTGAATTTGTTTTATATTGTATTAGAATCCATGCATGCTAGTATCCTCTCTATACTCAACATTACAAAATGATTTGTTTTGGGAACGATGTAACATTAGTTTAAGTAATTGAAGGACAATGTAAGAAACTTAATAATAGAGGATCAAACTCAATATAGTTTTAACATACAAAGTATAATTTTTCCTTTAAAACCCTTTTTTAGTTGCTAACTAAAACTTTGGGAGATACTTCTAAAACTGGTCTTGTGGCTTAGTTGGCGATATAGTATACAACCAAATGGTTGGTTATGTGGGTGACCAACTCATATAAAGAAACAGGTTGCAACCTACAATTTCAGTGTCCAAAACTTTGGATTTTTATATACTTTTTCATGAGAACAAAGCTTAACATGTTTCTGACGCCTACCTTTTTATAGGGTCTGATACTCTTTTGGATATGTCAATTTTAATCATCTCTTTAGATTTAGTGGATCTTATTAATGACTTTCTAAGGGTTACCTTGGGTAAATTATTGTTATTATTATTATTTGAATGAAACATAAGATCTTCAGATAAAAAAACTTTGAAATCTTTTCGTCTAAGAATACACCTTTTGAAAATTTGAGCAGCTTGTGCTTAACCCGATTTTAGTTCTTTCAATCTCAAACAAATTGCAAAAATGAACGAAATCAGAATGTAATTCTTTAAAATATTTCTGAGAAATTAAGCATGATTTTAACTTGAAAACTCACAAATTGTTACTGAGCTGGATTCAACTCCAATTCAAGCTCAGCAACCAATCATCCCCAAATTGAGCTTGATTAATACTCCTATCCAGTATATTAGACAGGTTATGTTGTGCCAACGTTTATATCCCACAAAATTATTATTTTTGGCATTTGGGACTGTATCAGCATGCTTTACTAATAACCATGTGCCTATAACAATTTTTTTTGTCGCCTATAAAATTAGCATTTAGCGCCAACATTGGTGCCAATTTTTTTTTGGAGGGAACATTTTTTGCAAAGACTATTGGCAATGACTATAAAAAATGGTCACAAAAAATATCATAAAAAAGTTTATCATGACAAACATTTGAAATTATCGTCGAAAATCACTTTTTTACAACAAATTTTATTGTTTGTCGTCAAAACTCGTTGCTAAAAAACAAATTTGTTGTAGTTAGTTGTATGAATTGTATATTGTCATATTATACTATGTAGAACTATATTTTTTTTGTTAAATTTCCACCAATATATTACTATTTATCCTGAGATCATGTTAAGTCTGGTACTCTAACTATACTTCAATAGGTATCACAGTACTCTTTTCCATTGCTACCCAAGGGGCTTAGAGTAACTGGACATGATTGAACTAGTTAATAGAATCACAAGACCCAAGGCATGTGAGAAAATCTCACATATGAAAGACACGTAGGGGAAGTAGAATGATCTTCCCTAAAGTTGGAAGTTTGCCAGCCAAGCCAACCCCACAATCAACGGAGCAGTACTCGGTTAAAGAGGTCGAGTTGTCTGCAAAATTGAGCTATAGCCAAGGCCAAGCAATAAGGATGGTTAGGGCTCTCTTTAGAGTCAACACACAATACAGATAGCTAGGTTATCCCCAAGAATCAAAGGCATTGTGACAAACCGATAAGGAAGTTGCCTGGGTTTAGGGTAAGCATTATACATATGTTAACTAAAAAGTAAATCAATGAGAAAGAAAACTGAAAGATATTTCAATACTAATCAAGAGTAATCCGGCAAAAGGATAGTCATACCTTCTAATATAAGCCAACAACGAAAATCTTAGCAGAAATGTCGTCATTTGACACTATAAATATTGATTAATGCTGGAGTCAAAAAGACGTATTATTTTCCCATCAAAATTGATTTGCTTTGTCTCAGAACTTTTCCTAACTTGAACATGAGAGTGTTTTCGACTGGCCAACCCTCGGTCCGTTTGCTCATTTTGCAGGAGGAGCAGTGCAGCCTCTAGATTGACTTTTAGAACTGAAAGAAGCCGATAGCAAAGTGACAGCAACTTGAAGGTACGAGATTGTTTTTCTCGATTGATTGACAGCTTGAAGGTATGAGATTTTTTTTCTCGTTCGATTGGCACCGTTTGTGGAATTAAGTTTTACTTTTCCTCCAAAAGTACCATGAACTCTTATTATATTTATCTTAAGACAATTAAATCATACTTTTAATAATTTATTTCCAAGAAGTCCTATACTCCATCAATAATATATGTTGTTCCAATTTTATCCTTCACATCAATACAACAATTACATTTTTACCAATAGTAATTCTTATTAGAACCAAAAATCAATTTTTTTTCTAATTAATGCATAACACCCAAAACACGTAATTAACAATAAAAGGCTTATAGAAAGAAGAAATAATATAACTCTATCTTTTCTTATATTTAACTTTTTAAATATGTGAATTTTGACTCATCTAACTATTAAATCTCAACCATAAAGACATATAATTATGCAAATTAACAATATAAAAATTAATCTATGATTGCATCATCGAGAAAAGTTCTTCTAATTATATATTTTTTTCTTCTCTTTTTACATTTTGAATTAATTAGAAAAAAATTATTGTTTTAAGGCATTAAAAAAAAAGAAAGAAGTCAAGCATTTCAAGTTACAACATTATATTTAAGATAAAAAATAAAAAATATTTGTGTATATTATGACTTCTAAACTATGTAAGATTCTCTCACATATGAACTCTTATATATCAATAAAGTGATTTTTGTTTATAATTACATATTTTAATAAATATAATTATTTACAAAAATATAATTTGTGAAATCATAGTGGATAAAATTAGAACAAAACAAACCATTAATAAAGTTTAGAACTTTTTGTGAATAAATTATCAAAAGTAGGGATTTAATTGTTCTAAAGTAATTATGATGGGCTCAATAGTAATTATAGAAGAAAAGTATGACTTATCAGTACGATTTTTTTTCAAATTCGTATTGTTTCTCTCTCTTCTCCTCCGATGTGAAACCACCGGTGCTCCACTCCTGACGGTAGATAGGTACACCACTTTAACTGTCATGGCTTACCAAATCTATGTGGTGTCGGCTTGTTGATCAACGAAGAGTTCTGCGATCAAGATTCGATGCTTGCACTAAGAGAACTAGGATTTTTCTCATACTTCTCCCTTTTCTTTTCTTTTTTCTTTATGTTCTTGTGGAATTCGCATGGTAAACTGTTGCTTTTACATGGAGAGAGAAAGTGGCGGCGATGAAGGCGATAGAGGTTCCATATTCGTGACTGGAAGGAAAGATTTTATTGATTAAGCTGCATTTCTTCATCTACATGTTTAGTTGATAGTGATTATTTGTCTCTTGGGAGCCTCATACTTCTAAAGAAGAAGATTTGATTTATATTGTGGATTTTATTATTCCCCATCCGTGGTATAGAGCAATATGCCTAAAAGACCGGCCTATAGGGACGGTTTCAGTGACAAAAAATGGTGGCAACGATAGTTGCCGAGGTGAAATTGGTTATCTCCTAGGATCAAAGTATTGGGGGAAAGGAATTATGATAAGGGTTGTGAAAATGGTGGCTTCCACCATTTTCATTAAGTGGCCACACCTTGAGAGGCTTGAGGGTCTGGTGGATGTTAACAATCCTGCCTCACAGGGGGTGTTGGAGAACTGGAGAAGTCTGGGTTTCAGAGAGAAGGTGTTCTGAGGAATTATTATATTCATAAGGGAAAGCCAATAGAAATGGTGATGTTTAGTCTTCTCTCTACTGATTCCCCTGTAAACTATTTAATTTACGGTTAAAATTTGTATTCTAATCAAAAGACTATTAAAATTTGTATTATTGTAATCTGAAAGTTTACAAATTTGTGTCGCAAAAATAGCCTATTAGGGTAGGAATTTTTTGCATTGGGCAGCATTTTTTTTACCGATCACTGTTGTATAAAGATGGATTGAGAACACTAGAGTCAAACTTCTGCATATCAAATGTGCACATATGGTGCCATTGTTTGTTGCAATTACTCACATAATGGAAGTTGACATAAGATTTTGGGTATGGAGGAAAACGGCGTCTGGAATTTCCAGACAGAAATTTGATCCAGACAAGATTTCCTTCATTGGCTGTTTGTCATTTTAAAGAAAGAACATAAATGTGAATTCCAGCCTCAGTGAACACTTGACGGAAAGGACTGGCAGCCTCGATTTTTTAGGTAAAGGTGGTAGTCTTCGACTTTGCAATGCTGGTTAGATTTTTTCTGACTTGAGGAATTAGAAAAACAGGTTACCATTCAACATTTTTATGATGTAAGAAACCTGATTAAGGGAAGGAGTGAAGGTTTTTAAATGGCATCTCCGCTATTTAAGAATAACATTTGGGCATATATATCACATTCCTAGTGCCTGTGTAGTCCTGCTAGACTTTGGATTGTGTGCTGTGTTCTGTTCATTTGTATGTGCATGGAAGAAGAAAAATAATAGATGAGCCAATGAATGTGCTGAATTTTATGGTGGTTCTCGGCTTTTACAAACAGTTTGAGGATAATAGTGTCAGTTGGCAAAGCACGTGAAGCAGTGGAATGTGAAAATTATATGTGAGCATATTTTTCATTGGTTTCATGCCAATACGGCTAGTAATTGTACTTATGTTTGTTTATTAACTACTTCCACCACCTATGTTGTCTATGATGGAATTTTAAATACTATTGTCATGCGGAGGAGTTTGTTGTTGGCGGAATCTGTTGTTAATGAATCTTCACTTTCAGTTATCCATGGCACTTAGGGAAACGGAAGATGTCCCAAAGTTGTTATTCCGAGAAGTGTAGTAAAGGGGCTCTATGAAGAGGCTAGAGCAAAAGGCTTTAAGTCATAGGGAAGATTAGCAAAAACAAGCAACACCAGGACAAAGCTGTGCCACTAGGTGTGGAACAGACTAGAAGAATTCATGCAGTTACGATCATGATCTTGAGGTGTGCCATACTCCGCAAAAAACAGCTACATGTCAATTGCCTTGCTCTGTGGTAAAAAATTTCTCAGTTGGAGCTACTAAGACAGTTATGATGTGAAGTTTACTTAGGATTTTAATAAACTAGATTTCATATTTTTGGGAATGAGATATCCTATTTGTGGCTCAGTGGTGCCTTGGATGATTTTTTTTATGATGCAATGGGTTGTATATTTTATTTGTGCACATAACCATAAAGAGAAGTATGGCTAGATACTAAATTCTCTCCTTGTAATGGCATTTACTTTTAGAATGATGTGCTTTCTGTATATTATCTCCCTTATCATTCATGGATGTAATAAGACTTGAGCTTATGTCAGAGAAATTGTGGCGGTTTTTTATGATTGAGAACAGATTATTTTGGAAGTTTGGGGAGGAGTTGGGGAATGCAGTAAAAACTACCATTACAAATGACCCTTTGTGATGAGGTCTTATCATGGTGAGGGGATCAAAAAGTCCCATAAAAAAAGTGAGGGCTTCCGGACGTTTCCCCCACTCCCTAAATGGCCCCTCCCTAAGGAAGGAAACGGAATAATCTCAATTTCACAAAGGAACACTATATTTCATCTTCGGTGTCACTGCTGTTGTAATGATCAAATAAAAATCCCAGTTAGCCACCAATTAGACAATGGAGCTTTGTAATGAAAACTGTTCTTCAGTCAATTCTCTCGGTCACAAGGCATCTATTTTTTTTTAATTTCAAATCATACCTTGTTTATGCTTTTCTTTGTGTTTATCTTGGGTTTTTTTCTCTTTTGATTACAATTTTTTGTGGTAATTTTTTTTAATGTAGACTGACTGTTCATTTCACTTTCCTTGGTCTGTAGTTAAACCTCTTTGTTCTAGTTCACAAGGCAGGAATCATCTTTATTCAAAGGGAAGAGAGCAAATCTCTTCAGTCATACAAAAACCATATCAACCAATGAAGAGGTTACAAAAGAATAAATATTACATGAGACACTCAACCAAGGAAAAAGGAACTTTGAAGTAAACAATCATTCTATACGTAGGACTGTATACTGAGCAATAGGATGACAGATAACAGAACTCAGCAGAGTGTGGAGGTCGAAGCGTATGATGCAATGAACAATAGGAAGAAAAGCAGAGGAGCTGCTAACTTAGTAGAGGTTGCATCTGATGCACCATTTTCTGTTGATGGTACTGTGTTAGATCCCCGTCCTGCACATGTAAAAATTAAGTTGAACATTGTTGTCCTGGTAGTGGTTGATATCATTTTTTATTGATAGAAAACTTGGGAAGATATGTAAACCAGAGGGTGAAGATGAAACTTTTTAAGGGTTTTATTGCTAAACCATAGGAAAAAAAATATTTTTTCGTCGTTTTCATGGTTTCTAGACACCAAGAATAGATTTTGTAATGTCACACAAATGTCTTTGTGCTTCTAATTATAGTAGTACCATCATTTGCAGTGAAAGAAATATTGAAGTTCTGGTACCTGATGGTACTGTGCTTGGAGTTTCTGGAGTTCCCACAGGAGAATCAGCTGGAGAAGCAGCTATCAGGTTCAAAGTTTACTAGTTAGTAGAGGCTATATATGTTGATGAGCATAATGTTATAAATTCTTTGTTACAAGAATGAAAATTTGCTTAAGATGTGAAACAGATATTTCTTGTGTATCTTTACCATTGCAACGGCTGAGGGGTGGAGTCTGAACATTGCAAGCACCAGGTAATGCCAGAGCAAGAGTTTGGTTGATGTTGAGCCCCTGGGATGAGCCACCACCATTTAGGACCTGACACAAGCACTGTGGCTGTGAGCGAACAACGTTGCCAAGCTGAGTGCAGCAGCTTGAAGATGGGGTTGAAGAGTTGCCAGTAATGTAGTTGAGGCAGGGTGACATGCTTATTATCGTGCTCGTGCAACTGCTAGACTGTGCGGTGGCTCCAGTCCAGAGGATGGTCGCTAGGACCAACACTAGACCCATCTCAGTTCTTTGATGTGCCATTGGAGCTCTTTGAACAGGTACTTTGGAATGGGTTAGTTTGCTGGAAATGCCTGTGGAATGGGGAGATATCTAGGCTTTTCAAACAGTTTGATTACTTTGGTGGAGGGAGAGAAAGGGGTATGATGGTTTATATAGGAGAAATAGGGAATAATAGTCAGAAGAAGATTGGCTATGCTGGTAACCGACTTCTCCTACTCTCCAAGGTGTCTAAGCTAGAGACTTTNGTATGACGGTTTATATAAGAGAAATAGGGAATAATAGTCAGAAGAAGATTGGCTATGCTGGTAACCGACTTCTCNTGGGAATGAGGTATCCTATTTGTGGCTCTGTGGTGCCTTGGATGATTTTTTTATGATGCAACATAACAATAAAGAGAAGTATGAATGGATACTAAATTATCTCCTTGTAATTGTCATTACTTTTTGAAGGATGTGCNGGTATGATGGTTTATATAGGAGAAATAGGGAATAATAGTCAGAAGAAGATTGGCTATGCTGGTAACCGACTTCTCCTACTCTCCAAGGTGTCTAAGCTAGAGACTTTTATAAATGGACAATGCATTCTTTGACCTCTGAACCATGACTGGTGCATCACATTGTTCCCGTAATTATCATGTTTCTTTCGTAGCATCTCCAATTGTTGTTGTAAGTTTCATATTATCCCAATTGTAGATGTCTATTAACAGTGGCACTTTGCTTATCAAATTGCGTGAATTTGTTTTATATTNCCATGACTGGTGCATCACATTGTTCCCGTAATTATCATGTTTCTTTCGTAGAATCTCCAATTGTTGTTGTAAGTTTCATATTATCCCAATTGTAGATGTCTATTAACAGTGGCACTTTGCTTATCAAATTGCGTGAATTTGTTTTATATTGTGTCAAAATCCTATACTCGCTGGTATTCTCTAATCACAACATTGCAAATTATTTGTTTTAGGAACAATGTAACATTAGTTTAAATAATTAGAGGAGAATGTAGNATACTCGCTGGTATTCTCTAATCACGACATTGCAAATTATTTGTTTTAGGAACAATGTAACATTAGTTTAAATAATTAGAGGAGAATGTAGGAAACTCAATAACAGAGTAACATTGGTTTAAATAGTTAGAGGAGAATGTAAAAAACTCTAAGTTTAAATAGTTAGAGGAGAATGTAAAAAACTCAATAATAGAGGATCGAAATAAGTNACACTCGCTGGTATTCTCTAATCACAACATTGCAAATTATTTGTTTTAGGAACAATGTAACATTAGTTTAAATAGTTAGAGGAGAATGTAGGAAACTCAATAACAGAGTAACATTGGTTTAAATAGTTAGAGGAGAATGTAAAAAACTCAATAATAGAGGATCGAAATAAGTTGAAAGTAGTATAATTTATAATTTTTCCTTTAAATCCCCTTTTCAGTTACTAACTAAAACTTGGGAGACACATCTAAAACTGGTCTTGTGTTTTAGTTGGGGAGATTATGATATAATAAACAAACAAATGGTTGGTTATGTGGGTGACCAACTCATATAAAGAAACAGGTTAGTTATAAGTGGCAACCTACAATTTCATTGTTCAAAACTTTGGATTTTTATATACTTTTTCATGAGAACAAAGCATAACGTGCTTCTGGCTCCTACCTTTTTATAGGGTTCGACACTCTTTTTTGGATTTGTCAATTCAATCATCTCTTTAGATTCAACTCAGGACATAATTTAATGTTTTTACTCATTGTAAAATATTTAATTTGAACCATGACTACTGATTTTGGGATGATCAAATTCCTCATTACAGCACCACCGAGGATAAATTAGACATTTAACCTCTCTAACAATAACTAGTTCAAAAAGACTCCTACCACAAGCAAGTTCGAATCCATGACCACTGGATAGAGGAGGGCAGCTAGATTACCACCTCAGTGGTAGATTCAATAATGTTNAACCATGACTACTGATTTTGGGATGATCAAATTCCCCATTACAGCACCACCGAGGGTAAATTGGACATTTAACCTCTCTAACAGTAACTAGTTCAAAAAGACTCCTACCACAAGCAAGTTCGAACCCATGACCACTGGATAGAGGAGGGCAGCTAGATTACCACCTCAGTGGTAGATTCAATAATGTTATTTAAATCTAATTTGTTTTTATTAAAACTTATAACCAATCTAGTGGCTGTGATGTATTAAATTAATAAATTAAGTCTATGTAACATTACTCCTTTAGATTTAGTGGATCTTATATTAATGCTTTCTATGGAGAGTGTTATACATGGGGACAAATTTTTTTTTTTATTTTTAAATATTCAATTGCCATGGTGTGTAGGTGGAAAATTATTTTAAGCCTTTCTCATATCTATCCATTTTTTATTTTTTTTTGTTAGACATTATTACAGGATAAAGAGATGATAAAGTTTGAACCTTCAACATTAAAATATAACAGTAAAAACGATAATCAATAGACTAATTATTAATCTACCTAATTATATAATTGAAATTTCTTCAATAAACCGTCACATCAGTTTAAGAAGACTACTAAGAGCAACTCCAAGGACAGAATAACTAGTCAAAATATATTTTTTTATTACACTGTCTATTTTAAAGAACAACTTTTACTAATTCACTCCAACAACGCTCTCCGTACTTGATCACCTATGTTTTACCAAAACCAAAATCAAAACTTATTTAATTCCACTGAAAAATAAATAATATTATATCACACCAAAATAAATAGTTTTAGGCATTACTGCTGGTTTTGCCCATTAAGTGGCCTCGCCTTTGCGCCTACTGCTACTGCTGGTTTCCAATAAATAACACACCATAGAATCAACATCATCTCCAAATATACTATAAGCATCAATTGCTTGTAGATAGCTGAAGCCCATTGACAACACCATCTGCATGCCGAAGGCGGGATTGAGATGGGTGGGTTGATTTCTGAGAGAGGGTAATAGTCAAAGGCGGGACTCAGATAGGTGGGGTTGCATCTACCTCTAATTTCACAAATTCAGTTGGTGGGGTTTCAAAAATGGCTAGTGAGATAGTTAGCCCGTTGTAGAGAAAATTTAAGATTTATCTTTTTAAAATAGTTAAGAAGAGCATTTTATTGAAGCCCTTGGAATAATTATGAGAATAACCTTCCAAGCAATCATGTCTCTGAAAGAATCTTTAAGTCACATACATCGGATAAATATTTATTATTATTATTATTTCTTGAATGAAACATAAGACTTTAAGATAATAATAAATAAATAAATAAAAGCCTTGAAATTTTCCTCCAAAAATACGCCATTTAAAAATTTGAGTAGCTTGGGCTTAACTCGATACTCGATTTTGGTTCTTTCAGACTCATTCAAATTATAAAATGAGCGAAATCAGAATATAATTCTTAAGAATATTTCTGAGAAATTAAGCATGATTTTGACTTGAATACTCACAAATTTCTACTGAACAGGTTTAGCTCCAATTCAAACCCAGCCAGTCATCACCAAACTAAGCTTGGGTAAATTGGGCTGATAATACGTTTATCCAATGTATTTGATAGATGATTACGTTGTACCAATATTTACATCCCACCAAATTATTATTTACTTTTGGAGTGTATCAACATGGTTTACTAATAACCATATGCCATTTACCCAAAAAAATAATAATAAAAAAATAACAAGGTGCCTATATTGATATACCCATTATTTTAATAAAATTTTACTCCACTTATTTAAGTTAGTTGTAAGAATTGTACTTTGTCATGTCATACTTTATCTAGAAGTATGATTTTTGTTTAATGTGTTCAAACATAATAGTTAATTTCCTTTATTCACATTCAATTCATCAAATCTCAACTCTATCATCGTTTTATTGTGTTGTACATTATCTTAAGGCAAAAAAAAAAAAAGAATATAGAACTCAATACTCATGTATCACTCGAAACTTATATTGGCTCCCCTAGTCTATGGTGGGATAAGGAGGGATAAGGTATGTTTGTGGTTGCCCTACTGATGACTGGGACTGAGACGTTTCATAACTTTGGGATCCCTACCTCTAATGGCAATCCCGCTTCATATGACCCGGTTGGTGGCAAATGAAACATGTCCTTTGGCCAGCCTGGTACGAAGGCCTCTGATTTCTCCTGTCTTGGGAGGATCGACTTTGGCCTTGGCCCACATCCTGGCTCATCCCGCCTGCTTGTGGAGTCTCCACGCGTGAAGTACCAGGGGTTTGGACAGCACCCTGCAGTTGGAACAAATATCTCTGGTCCATAATGGGACAGGGAGGAACAACGTGTACTTGTGTGAGTCCCACTGACGACTGGGATTGAGACGTCTCAGAACTTCATGAGTTTTGCCTCAGGGGACAATTCTTCCTCACATGACCAGTTTGGTGGCAATGATAGCAAGTCCTATGACCTGTCTGATACGTTGTTCTCTGTTTTTTCCATGAACGTTGGTGGCTCATGGAACTTAAACTCCTTCTGATGACTTGAGCCCCTTGGCTCATGTTGGCGCTTGTCTATGCTAGGTTGGCAGTCATCGTACCCATAGCCTCTATAATAGTTTGTTGGTCAAAGGGCGATGGTGGTTGGTTATTGTTCCACCCACCACCTCGACGTCCCCTTCCTCTATATGTCATAAACACACATATCAAATAACAATAGAGTACTAATTTAGTATCCCAAAGTAGGGACCAAATTTAAAACCTTGAGATTTATTTCCTTGTCTCCCTAGTAGAGCCTATGCCACCCACTAGTAAACATTTACACCTTGAACTATCCCGTTCATCCCTTTTTTTTTCCGAACCTCAAGGTTATATTTTCTAACCCTAGTGTCTCTCTTTTCCATATACATTTTACCATGCATATAATCCACATAACACATAGCACATAACATATAGCAATTTAAGCACATAACATGATATGCACAATGAATGCAATGATCTAAACTCATGCCCAACAGTCCTAGGTAAATCGTATACCAAGGCTCTAATAACAAGCTGTGACGCCCCTAAAATCGGAGGTCCTTTGTTTACCGTTGACCATTCGTCAACCCACGAAAATACCTGTGATTGTCGCCTAATCCAACATCATGTCAATAGAATCCCTTTAACCGAGATTGTTACCCACACGTATAACACACACATATTTTGTCATTTGACCCAATCGGTTCCAATATACCACAAATTATCTTTATTTTATGTTCATTTATATCCTTTGAACCAAAGAACTCAAAGTCCAAAAGCATGACAATTCAATTTAAAATTTTTGGAAAACCTACCAGTAGGTTTAGTCCACTAGAAAAGTCCTACCAGTAAGTTTTGTCTGATAAGCAAAATTTTGCCTGTACGCGATCCTACCGGTAGGTCTTACCCATTGGACCACGTTCTATTGGTAGGTCCTGCCCAGATTTGCTTATTTCACTTGTTTTCAATTTTCAATTCATGTCAAACCTATCCAAACTCTTATACCATATATTAGTACATCAAATATAATTAAAACAAGTTCTATTATAATCATTTTTTCAAAAGATTACATATCCAAAACATAAATTTCACAATGTTTTACAAAATATGGATTAAAGGCCACAAGTTGGCCTCTCTTCATCCTCGAGGCCCAGTATAAGAGTCGTCCACCGGCATGTGTCCCCCACTTGAAATGTTTTCCTGTATAGGGTGAACTACGCTCAATAGACTATCTCCTACAAAGAATACTTCCCCCCTAGATACATATTAAATGTGCACATGCAATAATCAACAATTATTTTTTATTCCAATTAAGAACATGTAATTCAAGATGGGAATTCTACCATGTTATGTCATGATATGAGATGAGACTCACTCATGCATTTTATCCCGAGTCCTTACCGACTCCCACAACACAATGTAATGTCAATGTGTAGTAAATCTGTCATTGATGAATTACATCCAATGATCACTTTGAAACAAAAGTCATGTGTTTGTAAAATCGAATCATTATTGGATGTTACACATCAAATGACTATTTTATAAAACAAGTACATTTTTTTGGAATTTCACCTCAGGAAAGTATACGAAGCAGGTATTTTATAAAACAAAACCATGTGTCTTTGTTAGGTAGAGGAGTTTTGGTATCGCACCGCAGGTTCCGCAAACCAATACACTTTTCTAGAATTTCATCTCAGGGGAGTGTATGAACTAGGTAGTCAGGTCTTGCACCCGAGAGAGAGTCTAGCCCTTTTTGCTATATCCAACACAAGTTTTTCGTGCAACCATGCGACTCAGTTGGATCTTCAATCCAAATTTCTCGAGCCCACCCATCAATCACCAAATATGGTGTTTGATCAAACCATTCACACACACTCACACTCATGTCTAATGTCCATGAATGCGATGTCAACTTCATGTTCAATATGCAATGAATGTCAAATGAGCAATTTAAATCGCATGTCAACATATCACATGACAATTTATATCCTAAGCATATAATTGCCACAATCATCATGATGNGCAATATGCCTAAAAGACCGGCCTATAGGGACGGTTTCAGTGACAAAAAATGGTGGCAACGATAGTTGCCGAGGTGAAATTGGTTATCTCCTAGGATCAAAGTATTGGGGGAAAGGAATTATGATAAGGGTTGTGAAAATGGTGGCTTCCACCATTTTCATTAAGTGGCCACACCTTGAGAGGCTTGAGGGTCTGGTGGATGTTAACAATCCTGCCTCACAGGGGGTGTTGGAGAACTGGAGAAGTCTGGGTTTCAGAGAGAAGGTGTTCTGAGGAATTATTATATTCATAAGGGAAAGCCAATAGAAATGGTGATGTTTAGTCTTCTCTCTACTGATTCCCCTGTAAACTATTTAATTTACGGTTAAAATTTGTATTCTAATCAAAAGACTATTAAAATTTGTATTATTGTAATCTGAAAGTTTACAAATTTGTGTCGCAAAAATAGCCTATTAGGGTAGGAATTTTTTGCATTGGGCAGCATTTTTTTTACCGATCACTGTTGTATAAAGATGGATTGAGAACACTAAAGTCAAACTTCTGCATATCAAATGTGCACATATGGTGCCATTGTTTGTTGCAATTACTCACATAATGGAAGTTGACATAAGATTTTGGGTATGGAGGGAAACGGCGTCTGGAATTTCCAGACAGAAATTTGATCCAGACAAGATTTCCTTCATTCGCTGTTTGTCATTTTAAAGAAAGAACATAAATGTGAATTCCAGCCTCAGTGAACACTTGACGGGAAGGACTGGCAGCCTCGATTTTTTAGGTAAAGGTGGTAGTCTTCGACTTTGCAATGCTGGTTAGATTTTTTCTGACTTGAGGAATTAGAAAAAACAGGTTAACATTCAACATTTTTATGATGTAAGAAACCTGATTAAGGGAAGGAGTGAAGGTTTTTAAATGGCATCTCCGCTATTTAAGAATAACATTTGGGCATATATATCACATTCCTAGTGCCTGTGTAGTCCTGCTAGACTTTGGATTGTGTGCTGTGTTCTGTTCATTTGTATGTGCATGGAAGAAGAAAAATAATAGATGAGCCAATGAATGTGCTGAATTTTATGGCGGTTCTCGGCTTTTACAAACAGTTTGAGGATAATAGTGTCAGTTGGCAAAGCACGTGAAGCAGTGGAATGTGAAAATTATATGTGAGCATATTTTTCATTGGTTTCATGCCAATACGGCTAGTAATTGTACTTATGTTTGTTTATTAACTACTTCCACCACCTATGTTGTCTATGATGGAATTTTAAATACTATTGTCATGCGGAGGAGTTTGTTGTTGGCGGAATCTGTTGTTAATGAATCTTCACTTTCAGTTATCCATGGCACTTAGGGAAACGGAAGATGTCCCAAAGTTGTTATTCCGAGAAGTGTAGTAAAGGGGCTCTATGAAGAGGCTAGAGCAAAAGGCTTTAAGTCATAGGGAAGATTAGCAAAAACAAGCAACACCAGGACAAAGCTGTGCCACTAGGTGTGGAACAGACTAGAAGAATTCATGCAGTTACGATCATGATCTTGAGGTGTGCCATACTCCGCAAAAAACAGCTACATGTCAATTGCCTTGCTCTGTGGTAAAAAATTTCTCAGTTGGAGCTACTAAGACAGTTATGATGTGAAGTTTACTTAGGATTTTAATAAACTAGATTTCATATTTTTGGGAATGAGATATCCTATTTGTGGCTCAGTGGTGCCTTGGATGATTTTTTTTATGATGCAATGGGTTGTATATTTTATTTGTGCACATAACCATAAAGAGAAGTATGGCTAGATACTAAATTCTCTCCTTGTAATGGCATTTACTTTTAGAATGATGTGCTTTCTGTATATTATCTCCCTTATCATTCATGGATGTAATAAGACTTGAGCTTATGTCAGAGAAATTGTGGCGGTTTTTTATGATTGAGAACAGATTATTTTGGAAGTTTGGGGAGGAGTTGGGGAATGCAGTAAAAACTACCATTACAAATGACCCTTTGTGATGAGGTCTTATCATGGTGAGGGGATCAAAAAGTCCCATAAAAAAAGTGAGGGCTTCCGGACGTTTCCCCCACTCCCTAAATGGCCCCTCCCTAAGGAAGGAAACGGAATAATCTCAATTTCACAAAGGAACACTATATTTCATCTTCGGTGTCACTGCTGTTGTAATGATCAAATAAAAATCCCAGTTAGCCACCAATTAGACAATGGAGCTTTGTAATGAAAACTGTTCTTCAGTCAATTCTCTCGGTCACAAGGCATCTATTTTTTTTTAATTTCAAATCATACCTTGTTTATGCTTTTCTTTGTGTTTATCTTGGGTTTTTTTCTCTTTTGATTACAATTTTTTGTGGTAATTTTTTTTAATGTAGACTGACTGTTCATTTCACTTTCCTTGGTCTGTAGTTAAACCTCTTTGTTCTAGTTCACAAGGCAGGAATCATCTTTATTCAAAGGGAAGAGAGCAAATCTCTTCAGTCATACAAAAACCATATCAACCAATGAAGAGGTTACAAAAGAATAAATATTACATGAGACACTAAACCAAGGAAAAAGGAACTTTGAAGTAAACAATCATTCTATACGTAGGACTGTATACTGAGCAATAGGATGACAGATAACAGAACTCAGCAGAGTGTGGAGGTCGAAGCGTATGATGCAATGAACAATAGGAAGAAAAGCAGAGGAGCTGCTAACTTAGTAGAGGTTGCATCTGATGCACCATTTTCTGTTGATGGTACTGTGTTAGATCCCCGTCCTGCACATGTAAAAATTAAGTTGAACATTGTTGTCCTGGTAGTGGTTGATATCATTTTTTATTGATAGAAAACTTGGGAAGATATGTAAACCAGAGGCTGAAGATGAAACTTTTTAAGGGTTTTATTGCTAAACCATAGGAAAAAAAATATTTTTTCGTCGTTTTCATGGTTTCTAGACACCAAGAATAGATTTTGTAATGCCACACAAATGTCTTAGTGCTTCTAATTATAGTAGTACCATCATTTGCAGTGAAAGAAATATTGAAGTTCTGGTACCTGATGGTACTGTGCTTGGAGTTTCTGGAGTTCCCACAGGAGAATCAGCTGGAGAAGCAGCTATCAGGTTCAAAGTTTACTAGTTAGTAGAGGCTATATATGTTGATGAGCATAATGTTATAAATTCTTTGTTACAAGAATGAAAATTTGCTTAAGATGTGAAACAGATATTTCTTGTGTATCTTTACCATTGCAACGGCTGAGGGGTGGAGTCTGAACATTGCAAGCACCAGGTAATGCCAGAGCAAGAGTTTGGTTGATGTTGAGCCCCTGGGATGAGCCACCACCATTTAGGACCTGACACAAGCACTGTGGCTGTGAGCGAACAACGTTGCCAAGCTGAGTGCAGCAGCTTGAAGATGGGGTTGAAGAGTTGCCAGTAATGTAGTTGAGGCAGGGTGACATGCTTATTATCGTGCTTGTGCAACTGCTAGACTGTGCGGTGGCTCCAGTCCAGAGGATGGTCGCTAGGACCAACACTAGACCCATCTCAGTTCTTTGATGTGCCATTGGAGCTCTTTGAACAGGTACTTTGGAATGGGTTAGTTTGCTGGAAATGCCTGTGGAATGGGGAGATATCTAGGCTTTTCAAACAGTTTGATTACTTTGGTGGAGGGAGAGAAAGGGGTATGATGGTTTATATAGGAGAAATAGGGAATAATAGTCAGAAGAAGATTGGCTATGCTGGTAACCGACTTCTCCTACTCTCCAAGGTGTCTAAGCTAGAGACTTTTATAAATGGACAATGCATTCTTTGACCTCTGAACCATGACTGGTGCATCACATTGTTCCCGTAATTATCATGTTTCTTTCGTAGCATCTCCAATTGTTGTTGTAAGTTTCATATTATCCCAATTGTAGATGTCTATTAACAGTGGCACTTTGCTTATCAAATTGCGTGAATTTGTTTTATATTGTGTCAAAATCCTATACTCGCTGGTATTCTCTAATCACGACATTGCAAATTATTTGTTTTAGGAACAATGTAACATTAGTTTAAATAATTAGAGGAGAATGTAGGAAACTCAATAACAGAGTAACATTGGTTTAAATAGTTAGAGGAGAATGTAAAAAACTCAATAATAGAGGATCGAAATAAGTTGAAAGTAGTATAATTTATAATTTTTCCTTTAAATCCCCTTTTCAGTTACTAACTAAAACTTGGGAGACACATCTAAAACTGGTCTTGTGTTTTAGTTGGGGAGATTATGATATAATAAACAAACAAATGGTTGGTTATGTGGGTGACCAACTCATATAAAGAAACAGGTTAGTTATAAGTGGCAACCTACAATTTCATTGTTGGATTTTTATATACTTTTTCATGAGAACAAAGCATAACGTGCTTCTGGCTCCTACCTTTTTATAGGGTTCGACACTCTTTTTTGGATTTGTCAATTCAATCATCTCTTTAGATTCAACTCAGGACATAATTTAATGTTTTTACTCATTGTAAAATATTTAATTTGAACCATGACTACTGATTTTGGGATGATCAAATTCCTCATTACAGCACCACCGAGGATAAATTAGACATTTAACCTCTCTAACAATAACTAGTTCAAAAAGACTCCTACCACAAGCAAGTTCGAATCCATGACCACTGGATAGAGGAGGGCAGCTAGATTACCACCTCAGTGGTAGATTCAATAATGTTATTTAAATCTAATTTGTTTTTATTAAAACTTATAACCAATCTAGTGGCTGTGATGTATTAAATTAATAAATTAAGTCTATGTAACATTACTCCTTTAGATTTAGTGGATCTTATATTAATGCTTTCTATGGAGAGTGTTATACATGGGGACAAATTTTTTTTTTTATTTTTAAATATTCAATTGCCATGGTGTGTAGGTGGAAAATTATTTTAAGCCTTTCTCATATCTATCCATTTTTTATTTTTTTTTGTTAGACATTATTACAGGATAAAGAGATGATAAAGTTTGAACCTTCAACATTAAAATATAACAGTAAAAACGATAATCAATAGACTAATTATTAATCTACCTAATTATATAATTGAAATTTCTTCAATAAACCGTCACATCAGTTTAAGAAGACTACTAAGAGCAACTCCAAGGACAGAATAACTAGCCAAAATATATTTTTTATTACACTGTCTATTTTAAAGAACAACTTTTACTAATTCACTCCAAACTTGATCACCTATGTTTTACCAAAACCAAAATCAAAACTTATTTAATTCCACTGAAAAATAAATAATATTATATCACACCAAAATAAATAGTTTTAGGCATTACTGCTGGTTTTGCCCATTAAGTGGCCTCGCCTTTGCGCCTACTGCTACTGCTGGTTTCCAATAAATAACACACCATAGAATCAACATCATCTCCAAATATACTATAAGCATCAATTGCTTGTAGATAGCTGAAGCCCATTGACAACACCATCTGCATGCCGAAGGCGGGATTGAGATGGGTGGGTTGATTTCTGAGAGAGGGTAACAGTCAAAGGCGGGACTCAGATAGGTGGGGTTGCATCTACCTCTAATTTCACAAATTCAGTTGGTGGGGTTTCAAAAATGGCTAGTGAGATAGTTAGCCCGTTGTAGAGAAAATTTAAGATTTATCTTTTTAAAATAGTTAAGAAGAGCATTTTATTGAAGCCCTTGGAATAATTATGAGAATAACCTTCCAAGCAATCATGTCTCTGAAAGAATCTTTAAGTCACATACATCGGATAAATATTTATTATTATTATTATTTCTTGAATGAAACATAAGACTTTAAGATAATAATAAATAAATAAATAAAAGCCTTGAAATTTTCCTCCAAAAATACGCCATTTAAAAATTTGAGTAGCTTGGGCTTAACTCGATACTCGATTTTGGTTCTTTCAGACTCATTCAAATTATAAAATGAGCGAAATCAGAATATAATTCTTAAGAATATTTCTGAGAAATTAAGCATGATTTTGACTTGAATACTCACAAATTTCTACTGAACAGGTTTAGCTCCAATTCAAACCCAGCCAGTCATCACCAAACTAAGCTTGGGTAAATTGGGCTGATAATACGTTTATCCAATGTATTTGATAGATGATTACGTTGTACCAATATTTACATCCCACCAAATTATTATTTACTTTTGGAGTGTATCAACATGGTTTACTAATAACCATATGCCATTTACCCAAAAAAATAATAATAAAAAAATAACAAGGTGCCTATATTGATATACCCATTATTTTAATAAAATTTTACTCCACTTATTTAAGTTAGTTGTAAGAATTGTACTTTGTCATGTCATACTTTATCTAGAAGTATGATTTTTGTTTAATGTGTTCAAACATAATAGTTAATTTCCTTTATTCACATTCAATTCATCAAATCTCAACTCTATCATCGTTTTATTGTGTTGTACATTATCTTAAGGCAAAAAAAAAAAAAGAATATAGAACTCAATACTCATGTATCACTCGAAACTTATATTGGCTCCCCTAGTCTATGGTGGGATAAGGAGGGATAAGGTATGTTTGTGGTTGCCCTACTGATGACTGGGACTGAGACGTTTCATAACTTTGGGATCCCTACCTCTAATGGCAATCCCGCTTCATATGACCCGGTTGGTGGCAAATGAAACATGTCCTTTGGCCAGCCTGGTACGAAGGCCTCTGATTTCTCCTGTCTTGGGAGGATCGACTTTGGCCTTGGCCCACATCCTGGCTCATCCCGCCTGCTTGTGGAGTCTCCACGCGTGAAGTACCAGGGGTTTGGACAGCACCCTGCAGTTGGAACAAATATCTCTGGTCCATAATGGGACAGGGAGGAACAACGTGTACTTGTGTGAGTCCCACTGACGACTGGGATTGAGACGTCTCAGAACTTCATGAGTTTTGCCTCAGGGGACAATTCTTCCTCACATGACCAGTTTGGTGGCAATGATAGCAAGTCCTATGACCTGTCTGATACGTTGTTCTCTGTTTTTTCCATGAACGTTGGTGGCTCATGGAACTTAAACTCCTTCTGATGACTTGAGCCCCTTGGCTCATGTTGGCGCTTGTCTATGCTAGGTTGGCAGTCATCGTACCCATAGCCTCTATAATAGTTTGTTGGTCAAAGGGCGATGGTGGTTGGTTATTGTTCCACCCACCACCTCGACGTCCCCTTCCTCTATATGTCATAAACACACATATCAAATAACAATAGAGTACTAATTTAGTATCCCAAAGTAGGGACCAAATTTAAAACCTTGAGATTTATTTCCTTGTCTCCCTAGTAGAGCCTATGCCACCCACTAGTAAACATTTACACCTTGAACTATCCCGTTCATCCCTTTTTTTTTCCGAACCTCAAGGTTATATTTTCTAACCCTAGTGTCTCTCTTTTCCATATACATTTTACCATGCATATAATCCACATAACACATAGCACATAACATATAGCAATTTAAGCACATAACATGATATGCACAATGAATGCAATGATCTAAACTCATGCCCAACAGTCCTAGGTAAATCGTATACCAAGGCTCTAATAACAAGCTGTGACGCCCCTAAAATCGGAGGTCCTTTGTTTACCGTTGACCATTCGTCAACCCACGAAAATACCTGTGATTGTCGCCTAATCCAACATCATGTCAATAGAATCCCTTTAACCGAGATTGTTACCCACACGTATAACACACACATATTTTGTCATTTGACCCAATCGGTTCCAATATACCACAAATTATCTTTATTTTATGTTCATTTATATCCTTTGAACCAAAGAACTCAAAGTCCAAAAGCATGACAATTCAATTTAAAATTTTTGGAAAACCTACCAGTAGGTTTAGTCCACTAGAAAAGTCCTACCAGTAAGTTTTGTCTGATAAGCAAAATTTTGCCTGTACGCGATCCTACCGGTAGGTCTTACCCATTGGACCACGTTCTATTGGTAGGTCCTGCCCAGATTTGCTTATTTCACTTGTTTTCAATTTTCAATTCATGTCAAACCTATCCAAACTCTTATACCATATATTAGTACATCAAATATAATTAAAACAAGTTCTATTATAATCATTTTTTCAAAAGATTACATATCCAAAACATAAATTTCACAATGTTTTACAAAATATGGATTAAAGGCCACAAGTTGGCCTCTCTTCATCCTCGAGGCCCAGTATAAGAGTCGTCCACCGGCATGTGTCCCCCACTTGAAATGTTTTCCTGTATAGGGTGAACTACGCTCAATAGACTATCTCCTACAAAGAATACTTCCCCCCTAGATACATATTAAATGTGCACATGCAATAATCAACAATTATTTTTTATTCCAATTAAGAACATGTAATTCAAGATGGGAATTCTACCATGTTATGTCATGATATGAGATGAGACTCACTCATGCATTTTATCCCGAGTCCTTACCGACTCCCACAACACAATGTAATGTCAATGTGTAGTAAATCTGTCATTGATGAATTACATCCAATGATCACTTTGAAACAAAAGTCATGTGTTTGTAAAATCGAATCATTATTGGATGTTACACATCAAATGACTATTTTATAAAACAAGTACATTTTTTTGGAATTTCACCTCAGGAAAGTATACGAAGCAGGTATTTTATAAAACAAAACCATGTGTCTTTG